GGCTGGAGTGGGTCGGTGGTGTAGGTCACTAATTGCAAGGGTGGGTGCTGCTGAGATCAGAACGGTCTCACCTCCCGCCTGGCCTGGGTTTCCTGGAAGCCCCGTCGCCAGGCCCCTCCTGGAGCAGCCCTGAGTGGGCAGGGCAGGGCTCCCCGGGTTCCCAGGAGTCAGGAGGAAGGGTCTCTCCAGGGTGTGGCCCCCACGGCCAGGGCCTAGTGTGAGACACACGGGGACACAAGCTGGAGGGTGTATCTCGCCCTCCACATTAAAACGGAGGTTTTTATACTCTTCTGTGCTGGCGAGGCCTCTTGCCATTAAAAGAGCTGGGCCAGGCGCCAGGGTATACGCCTGTCATGGGAGGCTGAGGTGGGAGGATCACTTGAGGACAGGATTCGAGGCTTCAGTGAGCCATGATTGCGTGACTGCACTCCAGCCTGGGCGACTCCACGAGACCCTGTCTCTAAAAAAAAATTAAAATTTACTCAGATACCCCGTGCCACCCAGGCCATGCAGGAGGCACCGGATTGTCACAGACACAGGCAATGGGGGGAAGCGTGGGCAGGGCCTTCACCGTGACTCCACCAAAGGAACGAGTGGGGTGGGGCCACAGGCTCGGGACTCCAGAGTGGACACCCTGGTGGGTGCTGGGCAGGGGCTGCCCCTGGCTGCCGGGTACGTAGCCCAGGGCGATAAGGGCAGGGGGATAGGGCCTAGTGTGTGAGAGCCCACGGAGGAGGCCTGGAGGGGGTGTGGGCCCTGAACCCAGGAGCTTGCACAGGAAGTTGTTTGCTGACAAATCGGTGGGCCCTAGGAGAGGCAATCTCACCAGGGCCAGCAAGGACCCGGAGGTCAAAGCAACGAAGCAGAAAATAAAAGGCATAGTTTGGCTGGGCGTGGTGGCTCACACTTGTAATCCCAGCACTTTGGGAGGCTGAGGTGGGCAGATCATCAGGTCAGGAGTTTGAGACCAGTCTGGCCAACATAGTAACACCCTGTCTCTACTAAAAATACAAAAATTAGCCGGGCGTGGTGGTGCGTACCTGTAATCTCAGCTACTCAGGAGGCTGAGGCAGAAGAATCGCTGGAACCCAGAAGGTGGAGGTTGCAGTGAGCCAAGATCGTGCCGCTGCACTCCAGCAGCATGGGCGACAGAGCGAGATTCCATCTCAAAAAAAAAAACGCAGTTCTTCATGCTCACCTAACTCGGGACACCTCCCCAGCCTGCACACCCATGTGCCCAGCATTCCCACAGATGCCAGCCCAGGCCAGCCTGGTTGTGCAGGGAGGGCTGAGCCCTGGGCCTTGGCAGTATCGCCTTGGTCCTGCACCCACAGACCAGCTCAGTGGCGAGGGTGGACAGGACATGGCAGCTGAGGAGACCTGAGGGATGCTGGCCTCCAGTGGTAGCGTTTGCCATGGGCATCCTTGCTGCTCTCAAGCTGGGGCTGAGGTCCTACCTCCAGGGCCCTCCTCAACCTCACACGTGCACCCATCCTCCCTGCCCCAGAGGCCACCCAGCATCCCACATGGCTCGGCTCAGAGAGGGAGACGTCCAGTAGTCCTTGGGGGCAGCTGGTCTGGGTGGTGCTGAGTCCCTCAGGCCCTGTATCCCAGATCGTGAGAGGGGAGCTGCGGTGCCCAGAAAACGTCTCGGCCGATGTGGGGCTTGAGCTGAGCTGGGGGACAGAGGAGGCCTCAGGTGGAGCCACTGGAGTCTTCAATGGGGCCAGGGCCATGGGCAGCAGCCACGCTGCCCATCCCCCGCCTGTGGGCCTCAGCCTGGCAGGAGGTGTCAAACCAGCTCCTGTCTGGAAAGAGGTTCGTGCCTCAAGTGAGCACCCCGCCCTGGGCTGGAGCCAGCCCTCCTCGCGGCCCATGATGGGGAACTGGTGTCCGTCCTACAGTGAGACGCTGGCTCCCGACTCTCCCAGGCAACACCACCGTCTCATCCCCAGACCTGTTCCTCTGGCTATGTCCTTGCCAGCTGTGCCACGTTCCTAGAGGCAGGCGGGCAGAGGCCTGAAAGGGTGGCGCTCACCCTTGGCACTGGGTCAGGGCTGAACCAGCCCCAACCCCCTTCCCCCATGGGGCTCCCTCCCTCCCCTTGCCCCAATGCCTGCTTCTGTGGGATCTGTCACTCTGCTCCGAATGGGACTTGGCCCTTCCTCAAGGTCCACCCCTTGAGGACAAAGCCAGCTGGGGACCAAGACTGTCCCTCCCAGCACAAATGGCTTCACACAGTTTGTTTCTGTTCCTCAGGACCCCCACCCTCCCTAGGATGACTCCTCACTGCCCCCAGGGCACCTCAAGAAACACCTCCTCTGGCCGCTCCATGAACAGGGCATCCACACGGCCAGCCCCCCGGGGTCGGGGCCTCAAAAGCTCTGGCACCCCAGGGTGCACGTCCTCCACCTCCACCTGACCCTCTTCCCAAGGCAACCCCACCTGCCCCCTACGGCGAAGGTACGGAGCCTGCCCAGAGAAGAGCAGGCTTGGGAGCAGACCTTTAGAAGACAAGCTCAGCCTGGGATGTGGGTGGTGGTGCAAGGCCAGCGGCTGAGGTCCTGCCTCAGTTTCCCCCACATGCTCCCCAAGGACTCAATCTCCCCCTGTTCTGCTTCTCACCCCCCACAGCCTAGTGCAGCCCTGCAGGGGACCCCAGCCGGATCGGAGGGCAGTTCTGCTTCTCCACTGTCTACTGCCCACCGGAGGCTGGGATCTCAGACACCCTCCCCTCCCCGACTGGCCACCTTGCCCAGGTGAGTCAGAGGGTCGTTCTGCAGCCCAAGGGCTGGCGTTGGTTTGAAATAGTGCCTCCTCCCCCTCCCTGAGCATAGGCAGGCCTGGCAGGTGGATAGTACTGTCCCTCTCGTGGAGAAGGAGGGGCTCCAGGAGGACCTTGCACCCATTCCAGACGGCCAGACGGCCAGGACCGAGAACCCAGGCCTCCAGCTCCCAGGCCAGGGATCTTCCCTCCACACCAACCCAGCGCTGAGAAATGGGTGAGGTAGAGCCGGGGCCACTGCCAACCGCTGCCCTCCTGTGAGGATGTGGCCGAGGTGGTCAGAAAGGCAGAATGACCACAAAGGCAGCGAATAATGAAAATGAATGGAGAGGGTGTGAGCCAGAGGCCCTAGGGCCCAAAGTGAGTGTCCTTCACTGAGCCAGGAGGACACAGGCCTCTTTGGGGACCAGGAAGCTGTAGGAGGGGGCGGAGCCTCTTGTGTAAGAGAGTTCAGTGGGCAGCCAGCCCAGACTGCTGGAGGGAGCCCAGCTTGCTGCTGTGTGGACAGTCATTTTCACCCACCCGCGGGACCCCGGGAGGACCACCCGCAGACTCAGGACTGGGGACCTGAGGGGACCCCTGCAGGCCACCCGAGCGGGGTAGCTCCTCAGAACCTGGGCTGGGGCCGGGGCCTCCCTTCCTGGAGCCTGGAAGGAAGCAGGCTCCCCAGCACGGAGTCCTGGTGGACCGCCTCAGGCAGACCCAGACCGGACCCGGGCGCTGCGTTGGACTCCCGCAACCCCAGGCCTGTTGGGTCAGCCTTCCAGGCTCGCTGCAGGTTCCTGCGCGGGGCAGCCGTCACTGAGGTCCTTACCCTAGCTCCAGAGAGTAGCTGGTCCCAGGGCACTAGTAGAGAGGTGCGCCCTCCTCCCTCTTCTAAAGGGTTCCCCAGCTGGGCCCCACCTGGCCCCTTTCCCCAACTAACTCATCAGTGCCTGGCAGGAAGACACAGCAGCCCTTCCCTGGTGACTGGAGTCCTGGCCCCAGGGCAGGCCCCGCTCCAAGGACCTGATCCCTGGGCTGGGTCAGCGCGGTAGATGTGGGTGCAGAGCTTCGGGGAGCTGGCTGTGGGGGCCGCGCATGCAGCCCGCAGGCAAACCATCGCCACGCCCACGCCTGCACTAAGCCCAGCGCCAGCGCCAGCGCCAGGTCAGCCAAGAAGCCGGGTCGTGGAGGAGGAAGTCGTGGACCCGGGATGCGCGGTCTGACCATTGCAGGCGAGCGGGGCAGGCGGACGGCGCAGCAGCTGGCTGGCAGCGAGTCGTCTGCATGCGGCGGCGAAGGGCCCGGGACCCTCACTACGCCCAGCCCCCAGTCCGCGCCGTTCCCCGCAGCGCGCAGCAACTTGGCCACCGGGCCCTGGCCGCCCTGGGAGAGGCTGGGTGCAGCAAGGGGACAGGAGCCCGGGCAGGAGGGGCGCGGCGGGTGGGGCCAGGCAGTCTCTCCCTGCCCTCGGGGCGGAAGGCGCACAGCGAGGGTCTAGCGTCGGGGTGGCCGCGGCCAGCCGGGTCCCGCTGGGGCCCTCGGGACGATCGGAAGTGACCGCGCGCCAGGGTCCATGAGGCCGGGGGTCGGCCTGCCCTAAGACTCCCGCCCGGTCCCGGTTCTACGCCGGGCTGGCTGCGGGCCCCTGGGGCCCGACCTCCCCGGGGTGCCCCAACCTGCGGCAAGGCTGAGGTCCCGCTGAGGCATGAGTCCCGGGTCAGGGACGGCTCTGGGCTGACTCCCGGAGGATGGACTAGGCCGATCCCCAGAGGGGAGGGGGTCGGGCCGAGGCCCTGTCGGCGCGTTCCCGGATCCCGTGTTCTCGGCTCCTCGCGTCCCACTATCGGCTCTTTCGTGTGGGACTGACGACTCACAAAACAGTTACATTTCAATATCATTCGACTCAAAACCACCCTGTGGACGCCGTGCGAGCATTGTCCCCATTTCACAGCTTGGGAGCTGCGACCAGAGAATGTGAGCGCGCCTCGCAAGGCCGTGGCCGCGGCGGGACTCGAACCCTCCCTCCCTAGTGCGTGCCGGTGCACCTTAGGACCCGGGGGCGCCGGGGCGGGGCGGGGCCTCGCGCGCGGCCCCTTGGGAAGTGTAGTCCGCAGTCGCAGGCCGGGGCCAAGCGGGAAGCGCGTGGGACTACCTTTCCCGGCATGCCGCGCGGCCGCCGGCGCCCTTGGCCCGTCCGCCCCGCCCCGCCCCTCGGCCCCAGCCCGCCCCGTCCGTTGAGGTCCCGCGCCGCATGGAGGCCGGCTGAGGAGCGCCGCTGCCTCGCCTTGGTACGCCGCGCGGCGCGGACAGCGCGTGCGTGAGGACGGGGCCCGGCACCGGGCGGGGGGTGGGCCCGGGTCAGGGCCGTGGGGTGACTGTGGGGGGCGGGAGGAGCCAGCCCGAGTCGGGGGGTAGGGGCCGGGGGGGTCAGGCCCGGGTCAGGTTTTGGGGCCGGGGTAGCAGGTCGTGGGGGTCAGGCCCGGGTCAGGTTCAGGTTTTGGGGCCGGGGGAGCAGGGTCGTGGGGGGCCGGACCCGGGTCAGGTTTGGGGGCCAGGGTAGCAGGTCGTGGGGCCAGGCCGGGGTCAGGTTTCGGAGCCGGGGGAGCAGGTCGTGGGGGTCAGGCCCGGGTCAGGTTTGGGGTGGGAGCAGGCCCCGAGCGTTCCCCGCCACCGCTGCCTGGAGCGACGCTGCCCAGGAGCGGAGCCCCCAGGGCTGGGGCCGGGAGGGTCAGCTGCGGCCTCGCGGGAGGGCGCGGGTCGGACCTCTAGTCCCGGGGTCCTCGCGGGTCGGGAGGGCCCCAACCATCCCCGCCTCCCGCCTGCGGTGGAGCCGGCCGAGGTGAGAGTGGAGGAAGGCGGCCCAGGCCTGCGGGTCTCTGGGGGTGCTGGAGGAGGCCAAGCGTGAGGCCCCGGAACCCCGTTGTCCCTCCGGCCACGCTGAAACCTGGGGCTTCGCTCCTCTGTAGGTGCCTTTGCCCTTCAAGTGGAGCAGAGCGGGGTTCCCATATGGGCGAAGTGGACGCCAGATCGTCCCCCGCTGTGCTCAGCCCAAACTTAAAAGGTCTTTGTAACTGAGCTACCGTGAAGCTGCCGTGTGTCTTTTTCAAAACTCTTACAAGAAAAATGGAGTGGGAGCTGTCTGGGCACTGGCGTCCCAGAAACAACCAGGAACTTGCGAGGGTGCTGAGGTCCCTGCGGGACTCCCGCAGCCTCGGTAGCCTCCAGATGGACGCCTCCTAGCTTTTAGGTCCCTAAAGAGGCTGTGCAGGCCGCCAGGCTCACTGCCCTGTGTGTCTCTGCTCCCTGCTTGCTGCCGCCGCCCCTGCAGTGTGACTGCTGGGGCCGCTGGCCAGCCTCGCCGGAGGCCGTGATGCTGTGGGGTCCGAGGAGGGGGCCTGGCAGGGTGGGTGGGTGGCAGGAGCCTGTGGGCCCCCTGCATGGTGGTCAGTGTGGGGGCTGTGCGTTGGCTGTGACCAGGTCCCGGAGGTTGGGGGCTGCCAGGTGTGCTGGCGAGGAGGCCTCGGGTTCTGGCTCAGGTGCGTTTCCCGTCTCCCAGCTCTGCCACACCTGCGTGAAGCGGTCCCACCAGACCCGGGAGAGGTTTCCTGTGGCCAAAGGCGCCAGACTCAGAAATGGGAAGCAGGGGAGGTCAGAGCTCTGGGCCACACCCTGGTCCCTCCAAGTTTGTCATTTCTGCAACCCCCAGGTCTGACCAGTTTGGAACCTGGGCTTTCTGAGCCAGTCTAGTGGGTTGGTTGAGAGATGGGTTTTTTCTGGGAACTGCATTTGGTGCTAGCTAGCTTTTGGTCTGCACTAGGAAGCTAGGCTGGAGTCTGGGAGGCAGTTTCTAGTAGGGTGAAGGGGATAGGATGGGTGTCTTAGCTCTGGCTGCTGTAACAAAACATCACAGACCAGGAAACTTTAAAAAAACAATAGGCTGGGCTGGGTGTGTTGGTGTACGCCTGTAATCTCAGCACTTTGGGAGGCCGAGGCTGGCAGATCACAAGGTCAGGAGATCGAGACCATCCTGGCTAACATGGTGAAACCCCGTCTCTGCTAAAAAATACAAAAAATTAGTTGGCATGGTGGCAAGCGCCTGTAGTCCCAGCTACTCAGGAGGCTGAGGCAGGAGAATGGTATGAACTCAGGAGGCGGAGCTTGCAGTGAGCCGAGATCGTACCCACTCCAGCCTGGGCAACAGAGCGAGACTCCATCTCAAAAGAAAAACAAAAAAAAAACCAGGCTGGGTGTGGTGGCTCACACCTGTAATCCCAGCACTTTGGGAGGCTGAGGCGGGTGGATCGCCTGAGGTCAGGAGTTCAAGACCAGCCTGGCCAATATGGCAAAACCCCATCTCTACTAAAAATACAAAAATTAGCCAGACGTGGTGGTAGGTGCCTGTAATCCCAGCTACTTGGGTGGCTGAGGCAGGAGAATCACTCGAACCCGGGAGGCAGAGGTTGAGATCACGCCACTGCACTCCAGCCTGGGCAACAGAGTGTGACTCTGTCTCAAAAACAAAAACAAAAATGAGGTCTCGGCCTGGCGCGGTGGCTCATGCCTGTAATCCCAGCACTTTGGGAGGCCGCGGCAGGTGGATCAGGAGGTCAGGAGTTCAATACTGGCCTGGCCAAAATGGTGAAACCCTATCTCTACTAAAAATACAAAAATTAGCTGGGTGTGGTGGCGCGCGCCTGTAATCCCAGCTACTCAGGAGGCTGAGGCAGGAGAATCGCTTGGACCCCGGGGTGGGGGAGATTGCAGTGAGCTGAGATCATGCTGTGGCACTCCAGCCTGGGCGACAGAGTGACACTCTGTCTCAAACAAAAAAAAAGAAAATGAGATCTCGCTAAGTTGCCCAAGCTGGTCTTAAACTCCAGACCTCAGACAATTCTCCTACCTCAGCCTCTCCTGAGTAGCTGGGGCTGTGGGCGAGTAGTCTTCTCCCACCGTGCCTCACTGGTGCTGGGAAAAAACTTAACAGAAATTAATTTTCTCAGAGTTCTAGGGGCTGGACGTCCCAGGTCAAAGGTCACTGGTTGCCATCCAGCCTCCTGGCTTGTAGACGGGCCCTCTTGCGGCGTTCTCACCTCGGGGGGCGAGAGCTCTGTGGTGTCTTTTCCAGGAGTACTAACCCCGTCACCGGGGCTTTGCACTTATGACCTCATCTGAACCTGATCACCTCCCGGAGGCCCCACCTTCTAATACCTTCATAGTGGGAGTTAGGGCTCTAACCTGTGGGTTTTTGGGGACACAGTTCAGTCTGTAGCAGTGGGGCCTGAGCAGGCAGGTGGGATGTGCCGTCTGAGGCATCTGTGGAGCCTGACGCTGCAGGACATTGGATGCAAACAGCCTGGGACTGGATGTCACATCCTGGGACAGACACCCTGTGGGACATTGGATGCAAACAGCCTTCTCTGATGCCAAAGGACTATAGATGCTGCTCTGATTTTGTGTCTAGGGCTTTTCTCGCGCACAACAGATGTCCTCCTGGGCTGCTGGGAACTCTCAGAGGCTTCGTCTGCACAGAGGATCATGGTTTCCAAAGCCAGATATCGCTTTTCACGGATGAGGAACAGCCCTTGGAGAACAAGTGTCTTCAGAGGCAGTGTCTAGGGTCTCCTGAAATCAGGCTGCTGAGTCTTTTCTTGCCCTGTGGGTCTCCACCCTGTTCTTTGCCTTTGGGACAGATCATGCTGTGGCAGAGAAGCTCAGAGGCTGAGGCCGACTGCTAAAGCAGCGTCTGCATGTGGCTTGTGCTTGCAGCCAAGAGAGGGCCACCTGTGTGGGACAGGTGGGATGCTGACCCTGGAGGCAAGTTCCCGCCTTAACCGGAGGCTCGTTTGAAGCATCCTGCCCAGGGCAGCGCTGGGGTCTGAGATCCGAGGACCCTGTCTGCCGGCTACCCGTGCTCAGGAGGCATCTCCCACAAATCGTGTTCAGCACCCACCCCAGTCCTGGTCGGTGGACATCTGTGCGGGGCAGGGAGAGTGAAGCACAGCTGGTCTGATAGAAGCGTCTGGCTTCCTTCCAGGCTGCACTGCCTCCCAGCGGGTTGGCCTCACGGGTAACAAGGCCAGAAGCCGTTGTGAGGCTCCCTGGGGCAGTGTCAGCACTGGGGATTTGGGAAGGAGAGTGGCCGGACCCCAGGTGATGCTCTGCTGGGACCCAGAGGGGGCTGCAGTGTGCGCTGGCCGGACCCCAGGTGATGCTCCGCTGAGACCCAGAGGGGGCTCCCGTGTGCGCTGGCCGGACCCCAGGTGATGGCTCTGCTGGGACCCAGAGGTTTTAGGGGTGGGATCCAGGTGGGTGGTTCTTCAGACATTGCCTCTGAAGACACTTCAGAGTCCAGGCCCAGCATCTGTGGCTTTCGGGCCAGGGCCCTTTGCTTACCACCAGGCAGCTGGGAGAGGCTTTGGGCCCAGCTGTAAATGTCTGAGAGCACGGCTGCCTGGAGCAGGCTAGAGGGAGGAGGGCTGGTGACCTGAAATCACACCCTAGAGCTTCCAGGGGCCTCAGCGAGGAGGGAAAGAGAGTGCTGGGACTGTGAGGGGGACTGCCAGATATGTCCCCCAGAATCACGGGCTTTAGGTGCTGGAGGGGCCTCAGTGACCTTCCGCCTGGCCCCCTGCGGGCAGCACGCCTCTGCTGAGAGGCTTCAGGGGCCAGGGCTGGGGGCTGGCACTGCCTCTGGTGGCACTGACATCGTCCTGCTCAAGGCTTGGCTGCCGGCCAGGAAGGCTTCTCTGCCCGCCCCGACAGGAGACCTGTGCACGCCCACCCCGTGGCACAACTGGGGTCAGGACCAGCGCCTGCTGCTGCAACTGAGATCCTGCCCTGTCCATGGCCACAGGCGCACCCGGGACCGGCCTCAGAGGCGGGTCTGGCCAGGCTGGGTGGAGGGCGGGGGCTGACCGCAGACCTGGGGCTGCCACACCCATGGGGGAAGGGCTGTGGCAACGTGGGCGCCTCCCGTTGGCTGGGCCGAGGCAGCCTCCCACTGGCTGCACAAGAGTTTCTTTAAGGAGTTTCCCCGTGCGTGCGTGCTGGCAGCCTTGCGCTGCTCTCAGAGTCCCGACTTCCGTGTGTGAGTTTCCCCCGCGCTCCTAAGAAACTGCCTCCCAGACTCCAGCCTAGTGCTCCCCCGTGCTCGTAAGAGTCCCAACTTCCATGTGCAGCTGGACCCAGGGAGGTGGCCATCCCCCGGACCGGGTGCTTGTCTGGGCCAGCTGGCCTGGCAGCTGCTCACAACAGCTTCCAGCGGGTTTTGTAGCTTTCATCTGCAAAAGGGGAAGGAGGCGGCCCAAGCTGCCGAGGCCTTTGCTCCGACCAGTGCCAGCAGCACTTCCTGGATATGCCAACCATTAAGACGCCCAGGCCAGGGTTGGGTCCAGACTCAAACCCAGGTGGAAAGGAGTGGGACCCCCTGCCAAGGCCGCACGGCCCTAGAGGGGAGCCTGTGGGGTGGGCTCCCCTTGCCCTCTGCAGAGGCTCAAGGCCCCTGGGGGCATGAGGACTGGGTTCCCAGGCCAGCCTGGTGTTTATCAGCTGTCTCTTTAGTCTCAGCTGACCTCCCCTGACCACGGCCCCATTGCACCACCTGCCCCAAACCAGGCCAGTTCCTCTTCCACAAGTCCTGGCTGTCCTCAGGGTGGGCTGCCCTCTTCTTGGTCAGCTTCAGATGGGGCCTCTGGTTGCACTGAGGCCCCTTCCCCTGCTCAGAACTGTCCCTGCCACCCCCCCCCCCGACTGCCCTCCTAGACACTGCACGGAGAGCTCCTTCCTGTTCACAGGTGAGGACACCTGAGCTTGGAGGCATCTTAACTCGGACATGCGTGGCCGGGACCCAGCTGGGTCCGTGAGTCCTGGCTGGGGCCGGGGTCTGTGCTTGCGGCTGTGTGCCAACAGGGTTTGCAGAGGAAAGGAACCTGACGTAGCATCTTATTACTCATTGTTCCTTTTTCTTATGAGTTCTGAGAAGTGGGCAGCAGTAGTGATACGAGAATGACCCCAGATGCACACAGGCATCAGAGCAGAACCTGGCAGTGGCCCCTTCTGAAGCACATACAAGCCCTGTTGTGTCCTCCACAGATGCTCGTCTCTGACTGATGCAGACACTTCAAGACAAAACCACAATGCCTTGCAAGACTAGACAGTTCAGAATAGCTCCCAACGGCTCTTTTTTTTTTTACTTTTTTTTTTTCTCTTGAGACAGAGTCTCCCTTTGTCACCCAGGCCGGAATGTAGTGACATGATCTCAGCTCACTGCAACCTCTGCCTCCCAGGTTCAGAGCGATTCTCCTGCATCAGCCTCCCCAGTAGCTGGGATTACAGGCATGCACCACCACACCTGGTTAATTTGTGTATTTTTAGTAGAGACTTGGTTTCACCAGGATGGTCTGTGTTGGCCAGGCTGGTCTCGAACTCCTGAGCTCAGGCAATCCGCCCACCTTGGCCTCCCAAAGTGCTAGGATTACATGTGTGAGCCACCCTGCCTGGCCTGTTTTGGATATTTTAATGATTCTGCCTGGCGACACATCCATCTGCCAGGACATGCATGAGCCATTGACTTTGTCAACAGTCGCTCCTGGCGTTCCGTGGCCGGTCTCAGGACAACCTGCTGGTCCCTGCCCCCACCTCAAGGGGCGCCATGGGTCTTGGCCGGCATGTGCCTCTGGTGCTACAGGCGCCTGGCTGTTTTCTTTCTCTTCCTTAGGCTCCTGGGCCCCCAGCCTGAGCTCCTGGTTTCTCTCTCAGGGTCTGTGGGGAGCTGTGACACGTCGGGGCAGCCCCCTCGCATGGCTGCCCCAAGCCTGTCCGAGTTTCTGCCATGGTTCCTTCCACACCATGTTTGTCTCTTAATCTGGGAGAGAAGGTCTTGGCTCCAAACACGTTGAACTGTGTGCTTTGTGGATTTCTCTGTCTGTACTGACTCTGATGACGTTGCCTGGGCTGTAGTTACCGAAAGGGGAAGTGGCTTTTGTACAAAGGCCCTGGGGTCTTTGCCACGTGTCAGAAGCTGTGTTCTGTGTCCTGAGATCAGGCACGGACCCCAGGGCCGCCTTCCTGTGTCTGCCCGCCATGCCGCGGTGAAGGTTGGGCAGCTCTGGCCCTGTGCTGAATGAGGCCTGAGCACCAGCAGCCCGCCCTAGCCCGTCTGCATTTTGCTTATGGTGGGTCCCCGGGGACCTGCTGGCTGTTCCCCACCCGGGCCTGACCTGAATGCACCCTGGACCTCAGTAGCCTTTGATGGGCAGGAGGCGTTTGGGGATATGGGGAAAGGAGCCCCCAGTCCCGCCCAACAGATGGTTCTAGACTGACAGAGCACTACGCAGTGAGTCCTGAGCCAGGCCTGGGGCTCCAGGTGGAAACTCCGCCTCTCATGCCTCTCCTCAGGCTCCCCACCCGTGCAAGAAGCCGCCGCCCAGCCATGGACGGGGAGGAGCAGCAGCCACCAAATGAGGTGAGGTAGAGGCTGGGCTGGATGCACAGAGGCAGGGGTGGGGGACCTCCCCACTGTGTGGGTTCTCGGGGTCGGTCCCTGGCTGCTGTTCTGCAAAGGTGATCTTCACAGGGCTCTCCAGGGTCAGGCAGGAGGCACCTCCGAGGGAGAGGGGCCCTGGGCTGAGGCGGCTGGTGGCCCTGTCTGCCTAGCTTGATGGCAGCCATGCCAGTGACAGCCAAGCAGCAAGGGGCCTAGGCTCCATGGAGCGGCCACGGACCCTGCTTTTCAGGTTGTGTGGTCCACGGAGCGGCCACAGGGCCCTTTCCAGGGTACGTGGTCCATGGAATTGCCACGGAGCCCTGGCTTTCTGGGGTGCATGGACCCTGACTTGAACTCTCCCTTCCGCCTGCAGGCCAACGTGGAACCTGTTGTGTCGTCGGAGGCTTCAGAGCCGGTGCCCAGGGTGCTTTCTGGGGACCCCCAGAACCTGTGTATGTCTCCCTCAGGGCCCTGGCACGTTCCCCCATGTTGGGCTGTTGAGTCAAGGAGGAGGGGGAGGCAGCCAACCGCTGCTAGGGGCTTGGAGCTTGTGGTGAGCAGGGTCCTGGCCGAGACCTGGGGTAAGTGCTGCTGGGCCTGGTGCTCCAGAGGGCAGACCTGCCCCCCAACAGCAGCTGCTCCTGGGCCTTGCCTGACAGTGGAGCCTCTTGGAGGGGCTGCCAACAGCACAGGCCGGCCCCTGGAGGGGCTCTTGAGCACAAGTAATGTGAGCGGCATGGGAGTCCCTCCTTGCTGTGGCCTCAGCCTGTCCCTCCTGAGTGGGGTGGGGGGCCTGCTTTGCCTCAGAGCCCCTCCCCTAGCTAAGCCCCCTGCAGCACCCGCCCCCCACTGTCCCCCACACCAGGCGTCATCCACAGCAGCCCCCAGGGTCGCCCTCACAGGGTGTATGGGGCACAGGACTCCTGAGGCCCTGGCTTCTCGACGGCATCCAGCTCACAGAGTTGGTAGCTGGTGTCTCCATCACCGGGCAGGCCAAGCATGTGGCGTGTGATGCTCGCCAGGGGGCGTGTGCTCTGCACCTGTTTGATTCTCAGAACCCAGGAGGGTTCCGGAGCCCAGGCTGCCAGCGGGCCTGGTGGTGTCCCTGGGTGGGCCCGGCGGTGTCCCTGGGGTGGGCCCGGCGGTGTCCCTGGGTGGGCCCGGTCCCACAACGGCCTGTGCTGCTATTGCAGCTGACGTGGACGCCTTCAATCTGCTCCTGGAGATGAAGCTAAAGCGGCGGCGTCAGCAGCCCAACCTGCCGCGCACTGTGACCCAGCTGGTGGCTGAAGATGGGAGCAGGGTGTACGTGGTGGGGACAGCCCACTTCAGCGACGACAGCAAGAGGGACGTCGTGAAGGTGAGTGCCACCGCCCGCCACAGCCCGGACGCGGGTTGGTGTAAGCTCCTGTGTCCTGCACTCAAAGGGACCTCGTGGCAGGGCCCGTGTGCCCGTGTGTGTGCACTGCAGGCCATCTGCTTCAACACTCTGTGGTCCCTGGGAGTGGCGCGGTGGGCTTCCTGCCTGGGAGCCATAACAGCCTCGTGCGTCTTTCCACTTGACAAGTGAACAAGCTTCACAGCTTTCTCTCTTGTTGCTTGAAGAATCGAGCTGTCACTGCAGCAGCGGGGTTAGCTAGCCCTGGGGTGACGCCAACGCTGGCTGCCCCTGGGATGGGGCCCCTGGTGCTGGTGTCAGCTGTGCTGAGGGGCAGGGAGCTGGCCATGTTCACAAGGCGTGGCCTGCGGCTGTTGCAGACCATCCGGGAGGTGCAGCCTGACGTGGTGGTCGTGGAGCTCTGCCAGTACCGTGTGTCCATGCTGAAGATGGATGAAAGCACACTGCTGCGGGAGGCGCAGGAGCTCAGCCTGGAGAAGCTGCAGCAGGCCGTGAGGCAGGTGCGCAGCCGCGGGTCGGGGTCGGGGTCGGGGTCAAAGCCACCTGTGCGCCTGTTGCCCAGGTTCCTCCCACGGCCCATGGCCCCAGTCAGTGTGGCTGTGCCTGGCCCGCCCTGGGGATCACCGGGTTGGGGACCTCCCCTGGGGCAGGAGAAAGGTAAGAGGCTCCATTACCCGGTTTCAGGCAAGGGAGGGGGAAACGGGTGGCTCTCCAAGCTGAGGCTGGGGCTGGTCGCCCGAGGACTGGGCTGCTGAGCCTTCGCTGGGGACGGGTCAGGTCTCACTGCAAGGCTGGCCCCCCAGGTACCGCACCCAGGCCCCAAAGTGGGTGGGGCTCAGGGCTCCTCCTGTCCCCACTTCTCCAGCCTTGCAGTGACTGCTGAGGCAGGACTTTCTCATTGCTCTTTGTGTTTTCGTTTTTGTTTGTTTGTTTGTTTGTTTGTTTTTAAAGACAGAGTCTTGCTCTGTTGTCTAGGCTGGAATGCAGTGGTGCAATCTCAGCTCACTGCAACCTTCGCCTCCTGGGTTCTAGTGATTCTCCTGCCTCAGCTTCCTGGGTAGCTGGGATTACAGGTGCCCGCCACCACACCCGGCTAATTTTTTGTATTTTTAGTAGAGATGGGGTTTTGCCATTTTGCCCAGGCTCATCTCAAACTCCTGAGCTCAGGCAATCCACCCACCTCGGCCCCCAGAGTGTTGGGATTACAGGCATGAGCCACCATGCCCGGCTGATCTTTGTGTTTTCAAAGGGATACCTGACCCCAGCCCTAGTCAGTTTGCCTTCCCCCTGTTCAAAGGAAACAATTGTAATGAGATCTTGTAGAAACGTCCCTAAACATTTGGCACCTGCCTTTCATTTTTTAATTTCTCCAGGTGAGGGAAGTCACTACGGACTTCTGTGGGCCATCTTGTAAAGGGCAGTCCCCAGTCCAGCCAGGGCCCAGTGCCAGATAGCCTCCCCACCAGAGCCTGGGGCCCAGTGATCTCGAAGGGGCATAGAATTCGGCAGTGCTGTGGTGCTCAGTGCTGCGGCATCACAGAGGGAAGGGGGTGTGGGGCAGGGTCTGGGAGACACCAGGTGTCCGATTCACCTGTCCCCTCCCGGGGGAGGCTCGCTGTACCCTGGTGTCTGGGTTTCTACCAGGGTTGGTCACAGGCATAGCTGAGCTCAGGCCCCAGCCCCTCCAGAGGTGGAGCTGGTCCCAGCAGACCAAGGCCCCATGCACATCTTATCCTAAGTTAGCCCGGGCTCTCCAGGGTGGCCTGGGCCCAGGAGAAACACGGGCCCTCCATCAGATGGGACATTCCCAGGGCTCAGGCCCAGACCTTCCCTGGGCGTGTGCAGGGTGTGAGCAATTGCCTGGCGCTGCGTGGCCCCCGGGGCTTTGCTGCCCTTCTGTGGGCAGCATCTCCACGTGTGGACACCCCTGTGGCCCCAGCTGGCTGGCAAGACCCGGGGCAGTAGGTCTCAGGCTGTGGTTGCTGAAGATGTGGGTGGCCTGGCGTCTGCACCAGCGGCAGTGCTGTGCTGGCCTCAGCAGGCAGGTGAGTGGCGAGGCCCCGTCTCCGGCCTGCCTGCCCAGCGCCCAGTGTCCGTGCCAGCTCAAGGCGGCCCCTGTGCAGCACAAGACCACCTCGTGAAGATCTTTTTTCTTTTTTTTTTCTTTTTTTTTTTTTTTTTGAGACAGTCTTGCTCTGTCGCCCAGGCTGGAGTGCAGTGGCGCAATCTCGGCTCACTGCAAGCTCCTCCTCCCGGGTTCACGCCATTCTCCTGCCTCAGCCTCCTGAGTAGCTGGGACTACAGGCGCCGCCACCGCGCCCGGCTAATTTTTTGTATTTTTAGTAGAAACGGGGTTTCACCGTGGTCTTGATCTCCTGACCTTGTGATCCGCCCGCCTCAGCCTCCCAAAGTGCTGGGATTACAGGCGTGAGCCACCGCGCCCGGCTTTTTTTTTTTTTTTTTTTTTTTGAGACAGAGCAGTCTCGCTCTGTCGCCCAGGCTGGAGTGCAGTGGTGTGATCTCGGCTCACTGCAACCTCTGCCTCTGGGGTTCAAGTGATTCTGCCATAGCCTCCTGGGTAGCTGGGATTACAGGTGCCCACCACCACACCCGGCTAATTTTTATATATATATATATATATATATATTTTTTTTTTTTTTGAGACGGAGTCTCGCTGTGTGGCCCAGGCTAGAGTGCAGTGGCCCGATCTCGGCTCACTGCAAGCTCCACCTCCCGGGTTCGACATTCTCCCGCCTCAGCCTCCGAGTAGCTGGGACTACAGGCGCCCGCCACCACGCCCGGCTAGTTTTTTGTATTTTTAGTAGAGACGGGGTTTCACCATGTTAGCCAGGATGGTCTCGATCTCCTGACCTCGTGATCCACCCGCCTCGGCCTCCCAAAGTGCTGGGATTACAGGCTTGAGCCACCGCGCCCGGCCAATTTTTATATTTTTAGTAGAGACGGGGTTTCGCCATGTTGGCCAGGCTGGTCTGAGAGAATTCCTGACCTCAAGTGATCCGCCCGCCTCGGCCTCCAAAAGTGCTGGCATTACAGGCGTGAGCCACCGCACCCAGCCTGTGAAGGCCTTTTCTGAAGGGAGCTACCTTTGAGAAGTGACTGTTGAGCCAGCACTCCCTGCTCTGGTCCCACCCGCTGTATGCTAGGGTGGTCCTGCACCTGTCGGGGAGGGGGCCGAGGACACAGCACGGGGCTGGGGCGGAGCTCTGTGCTGGTGCTGCCTGCCATCCCAGTTCTGCCGTTCCCCCAGCGCACCCCGCAGCCCCACCCCTCCCGCTGACGCCTGCTCCCTCTCTCTGCAGAACGGGCTCATGTCGGGGCTGATGCAGATGCTGCTGCTGAAGGTGTCTGCGCACATCACCGAGCAGCTGGGCATGGCCCCGGGCGGCGAGTTCAGGGAGGCCTTCAAGGAGGTGGGCACAGGGCGAGGTAGGGGGTGACCACAGGGATGTGGCTCACAGGGGTGGTCTGGGGCTCCCACTGCTCCCCAACGCCCAGCCTCTGCTCCAGGCCAGCAAGGTGCCTTTCTGCAAGTTCCACCTGGGTGACCGGCCCATCCCTGTCACCTTCAAGAGGGCCATCGCTGCGCTCTCCTTCTGGCAGAAGGTCAGGCTGGCTTGGGGCCTGTGCTTCCTGTCAGACCCCATCAGGTAGGGCTGCCCCCAGGACCCCGGCTGGCCTGCAGGGTGGTCTGCGGGAGGCTCCAGGCCTTCCTGTGCAGGTCCAAGCACAGCCAGTCCTCACTCGAGCCTTCCCTGCCCTTTCCGTCTACCACAAATCCCAACCAAACGTGCTGTGGTCCCTGCCCGGTGTCCACGGTGCCAGCCCTCCCCCAACACGCTGCCCCATCCCTGCGGGGCTGCAGCCACCCTCTCCACAGCAAGGACGACGTGGAACGCTGCAAGCAGAAGGACCTGCTGGAGCAGATGATGGCTGAGATGATCGGCGAGTTCCCGGACCTGCACCGCACCATTGTCTCGGAGCGCGACATCTACCTGACCTACATGCTGCGCCAGGCCGCCCGGCGCCTTGAGCTGCCTCGGGCCTCTGACGGTGACGGCTGTCCCTGGGCACGGGGCCGCCCGTGAGGCTGAGGCCCGAGCGGGTACTGACCCCTTGTCCTTCCCCACAGCCGAGCCCAGGAAGTGTGTCCCCTCTGTGGTGGTGGGCGTCGTGGGCATGGGCCACGTGCCTGGCATTGAGAAGAACTGGAGCACCGACCTCAACATCCAGGAGATCATGACGTGAGTGCCCACCCCACCCCGCGAGCCCCGCCCTGCAAGCCCCCAGGTGGAGGCTGAGCCCCCGGGAGGCCAACCGCACGTGGCGGTGACCCAGACGTGGGGGCTGGGGTGTGGGGAGCCCACCCCCAGCCAGGCCCAGCGCCCCCTCCCTCCTGCAGCGTGCCCCCGCCATCCGTCTCCGGCAGAGTGTCTCGGTTGGCCGTGAAGGCCGCCTTCTTCGGTCTGCTGGGCTACAGCCTGTACTGGATGGGCCGCCGCACTGCGAGCCTGGTCCTGTCGCTGCCCGCCGCGCAGTACTGCCTGCAGAGGGTGACCGAGGCCCGACACAAGTAGGAGACTGCTCCCCGCCCGCTCGGGCCCCTGAGGAGCCAGTGCCCCCGCGGCACTTCCTGGGTGCCAGGCGCATCCTAGCCCGCCGGAGGCCCCTGCCACCCCCCATGGGGGTCTGGGCCCGGCCTCGCCTGCCCTCCTGGTCCAGTCACCCCTCCCCCAGCCCACCCAAATAAAGGATTATTTAACTGTCTGAGCTCAGGCCTCCCGGCAGCCCCTCCCCTCCCATACTGCAGGGGCCGTTCACCGGCCTCTGGACAAGACGCCCAGCTCCGAGGAGGCAGGGGCTTGGAGGAGCCGAGGTGTGCACTGCCCTCTGAGCCCTGGCGGCAGGCGGGGGACAATGGCCACTGTCCCTACCTCACTGTGCCTTCCTGTGCTCCAGTCATGGGAGCTTCGGCCCAGGGGCGGCTCCTGGGGGCTCCAGGGCAGGCGAGACTGGGACAAAGGCCCGGCCCTTGAGCTCCAGCCAACCCTGCCATGCCCCCAGCATCCTGGCCCCGGCCACCTCCCCGGCGCCGTCTGCCTGCAGGGATTCTGTGTTTTTGGCTTTTTTAATGTCTCAAAATCTTTTACTCAGGTAATTTTAATTTCAAAGAGAAAAACTGAAGTAAATGTCAAAAAACACCAGCCTTAAATCCAGGGGGACAGAATTCGTGTTCTGGGTCTGTCCCTAGTGGGCTTGTGTGCAGCCAAACATCAGCTCTGGCTCCAGGCGCAGCCTCACCTGGAAGCCTGTGTCCTGAGCCCCCGGAGTGAGGGGGTGCCCAGGGTGTCTAGCCCTCTGTGGGCAGAGAATGTGTGCACCTATGTGGAAGGCCAAGGACATGGGCTATGGCCGGGCCTGCCCCGCTCAGGCCCCCTGCCCGGCGGCCGTCTGTGTGCGGGGCCTCCCTCCTGGCTGTCCAGGACACGGCCTGTGCAGCCCCAGCCTGGACCCAGGTCACCTCTGGTTGTGTCTGTCCCGACTCAGTGTTGAGTCACATCAGGTGTGCATCAGGAGCTGGCCGTGTCCTTCCTGCCACACTCGGGGATTCATTCCTTAGAAACTGAAATAAATTCTAATTTTGGAAATCCTGTTTTGTGACGTGTGGAAATGGGGTTCAGGTAATGAAGGATCCCGGCCTCTTCCCCCATGCTCCAGGGCAGCGTGTGCTGGGGGCCCTGCAGGGGCCCTGGGGGAGCTTGCCTGGTTTCCCGCGGAAGAGACAGGGTCACTGTCCCTCCATGCTGACCTGTGGGACCCTTCTCACCCACCAGGTGGGACGCAGGTGGCCTGCTGACACTCAAGACCCTCCATACCTAGTCCCACCAGATTCCAGAGTGTGGACAGACTGAGCCAGACCGGGGCCGGGGGTCGAGGAGGCAGATCAGGAGGGCCCAGGGCCTGGGGAACAGGGAACAGGGGTGCCCAGAGCGGCCAGGCGGGGGCTGCTGAGGAGGGAACGGTTGCTGTGGGCTGCAGGGGAGGGTCGGGCACGGGCACTTCACCACGTTGTCCCTCATCCGGTCACCTGCCCAACCCACGCGGAGTGTCCTGAGGGCTTCACCCGCAGCCCCGAAGGGGCAGAGCTGAGGTCACACAGGTCTCGCAAGCCCACGCTGTGGCCCCAGGAGAAGGTTCTGGATGTGGCTCCGGTAAGTGAAAGGTGGACTCAGCGCTGCGGGAATAAAGGGAAACCACAGGCAGGAGGGAGGCGCGTCCAGGATCCGCGGTCACCGGCCTCTCAGACTGTCCTCTGGGGCCGGGTCCAGAGGAGATGGAAAGCGGGGGCACCACAGGCTCGGCTGAACCCGCGCGTTCATTGGGCCACACCGACCCCAAACCCCTCCCCCGGGGGTCGGGTCCTTCAAGCCAGCCGAAGACCCCGGTGCCCGCCCAGGCCTCCGGGAGCGTCTGCGCCTGCGGCCTCGCGGGGCCTCTCCGAGCCCGGGCGCTGTTCCACGGGCCGGGCACGGGTCCAAGGCCCTTTCGTTCCTAGACGGCAGGCGAGGGGCCCGAGAGGCCGGAGGCCAGGGGACACCCTGAGAGGCGGCGCGAGGCTCCGGCGGCCCTGAGCTGCGGCGGGGTCCGGGCCGCCTGTGGGGCGCGGCGCTGAGCCCCGGCCCGACCCGAACGGACGTGGGCCTCGGTCCCTGCTGCCGGCGCCGGTGCAGCCGAGGAAATCCGGGGCTGCCCGAGCGGGGTCGTCGCTGGCGGTCTGGGAGGCGTTTCCATCGGTCATCCGGTTGGCGGCAGCGCGCGCCCCATGACGCCGGCGGCCACCCGGGACGCCTCAGACCCTCGGGCAGGGAGATGCGGACAGGCCGACAAGGCAGCCAATTAGAGCCCGGCCAGACACCGCGCCTCCCGCCCCCACACACCCCCACTGGCGATTGGGTTGCGGGACGCGCGGGGCGGGGCTTCCGGGAGGGGCAGGCTGGCTTCCGGGCGGGAGAGGCTGGCTTCCGGCGGGAGCGCCGCCGCGGATGGCCGCGTACAGGGCAGTTCTCGGGGGTTCGCTCGCAGCTGCCCGACTCCTGCCCCTCGGCCGCTGCCACCCGTCGCCCGCGCCCGGCTCTACCTTGTCGGGCGCCGCCATGGAGCCCGCGCCTTGCTGGCTGGCGGGGCTGCGCTTCGACAACCGCGCCCTGCGCGCGCTGCCCGTGGAGGCGCCGCCTCCCGGTCCCGAGGGCGCCCAGTCCGCGCCGCGCCAGGTGCCCGGGGCCTGCTTCACCCGCGTGCGGCCCACCCCCCTGCGGCAGCCGCGCCTTGTGGCGCTGTCGGAGCCCGCGCTGGCACTGCTGGGCCTGGGCGCGCCGCCCGCACGCGAGGCCGAGGCCGAGGCCGCGCTGTTCTTCAGCGGCAACGCGCTCCTGCCGGGCGCTGAGCCCGCCGCGCACTGCTACTGCGGCCACCAGTTCGGCCAGTTCGCCGGGCAACTGGGCGACGGCGCCGCCATGTACTTGGGCGAGGTGTGCACGGCGGCCGGCGAGCGCTGGGAGCTGCAGCTCAAGGGCGCTGGGCCCACGCCCTTCTCCAGGTGGGCCGGGGCGGGCGAGGGGCGCGGGTGGGTCCTCCCCGCCGGGGCGCCCCTGCCCTCCACCCAGCGCGGTATTGGGGGCGTCCCGAGGCCACTGCCAAGTGGGGCCTCCTCTCCTCCCGCGGGAGCGCGGTGCTGGCAGCCGCCCGCTCGCTGTGCTCATCAACCCGCCGAGGACCTTGGAGTCAGCTCCACCAGTGACGCCACTCATGTTTACCGACGTTCGCTGGGGCTCCAAGTCCAGGGACGGGAGCCGGGGTGAGAGGTTAGGCTAACCCTAACCCTAACCCTAACCCCGCAGGTCCCCAGCCTTCCTCCGATCGCCCGTGGGGCGGGCCGCTTCGTCCAGCAGCCTCACTCTGCTACTCTGGCCATGACTTCCATGCGGGCGGCCCTTTTTAACCCCGAAGTGAGGTGGGCATCGTTTAGATTTCGGGGGAGGGGGGCACACAGGTAGTCTAAGGCAAGATCTGGGTCCAGATGCCGCCAGGCCCACCGGGGAGCCGTGCACGCGCCACCTGCCTCTTGTGTACAGATAGCACTTTGGTCTGTTCTGCTCTTTTCCACTAAACAATTAATGTACTTATTCCATATTGTTTACTGCTTTTGTGGAATGACTAGGAAAACAATACACACAAGTGTACATTTTATGTTCAGAGAAATGCTAAAGCCGTGTCTCATCCGGCCCCTCCCTGTGCTCTCATCACCTCCCCCTCCAGTGCCTGAAATGCCCCTCAGTCCCTCAGCATCCCTTCCCTGGGGCTCCGTCTGCCAAGCAAGCTCCTCAGACTGGGGTCTTCCTCACTCCCCCGTCTCCACATCCGTTCTGTTCTGTGTCTGAGGGCAGCCTGGCCCTCCCTCCCCACCCCCAGCGACCTGCTTAGTGTTGACGCACCAGCCGCCCACGGAGCATTTCTGACCCTTGGAACGTGGTGGAGATGCTCAGCCTGGGGCCTGCTTATCCTGTGAGCATTTTTTTTTTTTTTTACTTTTTTGTTTTTCTTTCTGGCGAACATCTTAAACTTTCGTTTTGGTGATATTTTGAGTTATAAAGACAAATTTTTTATGAGAGTAATCTATCACTGGAAGACACTTTTTATATTTGAAGACTCGAGTATTAACTCAGTGCTTTCAGACCTGAGGTATGCTAGAATATATTTTCTCCTAAAAATTAAGGAGTCCTCTGACCTTTACTCAGACCCTGCCTGTCATCCCCACAAGTGTCCTGGGGTCCCTGGCCTCACCAGTTCTCTGGGATTGAGGCTAACATCTGAAGTGGCCGTGAGAAGGAAGAGACTTGAGCGGTGAAAACTGAAAAACATTACTGAAAGAAAGTAAACATAAATGGAAACATCCCTTGCTCATGGGTTGGATAAGTTTATATTTGAAAGACAACAGTACTCTTTGAAGAGATTCAGTACAGTCCCTATCAAAATACCAATGACAGTTTTTGCAAAAATAGAAAAACCCATTCTAAAATTCACATGGGGTCAGGTGCAGTGGCTCACTCCTGTAATCCCAGCACTTTGGGAAGCCAAGGCAGGAGGATTGCTTGAGGCCAGGAGTTGGAGACCAGCCTGGGGAAACAGCAAGACCCTGTCTCTTCAAAAAAATTTTTTTTTATTACCTGGGCATGGTGGAGTGTGCTTCTCATTGCAGTTACTCAGGAGGCTGAAGTGGAAGAATTCACTTGAGCCCATGATTCAAGGCCACGGTGAGCTGTGATTGTCCTATTGCACTCCAGTCTGGATGACAGAGTGAGACCCTGTCTCAAAAAGTAATACAATTCACATGGAATCTCAAGGGACCCTGAATGGACAAAACAATCTTGAAGAAAGTTGGAGGACTCATGCTTCCTGATTTCAAAACTTACTACAAAGCCGCAATCAGCAAATCAGTATGGCATTGGCATAAGGATAGACATAGACCAGTGGGATGGAATAAAGAGCCTAGAAATAAACCTTCACATATATGGTCAGCAAATTGTCAACAAGTGTGCTGAGACCATTCGATGGAGAAAGACTTTTCAACAAATGGTGCTGGGAAAACTGGATCCTCATGCAAAAGAATGAAGCTGGGTCCTTACCTACACCATGAACAAAGTTAACTGAAGAGTGGACCAAAGACCTAAGCATAAGAGCTAAAAGTCTTAGAGAAAATAGGGAAAATGCTTCATGACATTGGATTTGGCAGTGATTTCTCAGCTGTGACACAAAAGCACAGGCAACTAAAGAATAGCAGGCCGGCGCGTGGCTCACGCCTGTAATCCCAGCACTCACAAGTCAGGAATCGGACCACGGTGAACCCGTCTCTACAAAATACAAAAAAATTAGCCAGGCACGGTGGGGCCGTATCCAGCTACTGGAGGCTAGGCAGGAATGCTGAACCGGAGCGGAGCTTGCAGTGAGCCGAGATCGCGCCACTGCACTCTAGCCTGGGCTGGGCGACAGAGCTAGACTCCGTCTCAAAAAAAAAAAAAAAAAAAAAAAAAAAAAAAAAAGGCAAACAGGACTTCATGAACACTTTAAAAATTATGCATAAAAATACAGTATTAACAGTAAAAATGCAGCCCACAGAATGGGAGGAAATATTTGCAATTCATGTATCTGGTAAGTGAGTAATATCCAGAATATACAGAGAACTCTCAAAACTCAACAATGGGAAAAAAAAAACCAATTCAAAAATGGACTGGGAGGCTGAAACAGGAGAATCACTTGAACCCAGGAGGCGGAGGTTGCAGTGAGCCGAGATCGCACCACTGTCCCTGGGTGACAGAGCGAGACCCTGTCACCAAAAAAAAATGTAAGTTAAAGTGTTGAGGCTGTGGAGAAATTGGAACCCTTCTGCACTGCTGTGGGAATGTAAAATGATACGGTGCTGTGGAAAACAGTGTAGAAGTTCCTCAAATAATTAAAAATAGAATCACCATGTGATTCAGCAGTCCTGCTTCAAGAGCAGGCTCTCAGGGAGACATTTGTATACCGATATTCATAGCCAAAAGGCAGAACAAGTGTCTATCAGCAGATGAATGGAATATTATCTTAAAA